TAGCATAGCAAAACATGACTAGTAAAGACCTCGCTTCCCAAGTGCCGAACGGAACAAGACATTTATGACACAAAACATGTATGTGCAGTATACGGATACAGGCGGGGAGTACTTGCAGTAAGTACTATATAATACATGTAATATGTAACTTTTACAGTCTCTTATGACCGGGCGCAAAAGTGAGTTTTACTTGACCGTCATTGAGATCCAATCCTGTCTCGAGGGACCGACCCATAGCGGAAGCGAGGGCGAAGCGAGAAGCAGGGCGGAGACAACAAGAGGAGACGGAGACATAGAATAGACGGGATTAATTGTCAACAAAGATCGTTTCAACTTTTGGTTTTTAGGACTGTCGGAGAAAGACTATTCTAGGGAATAATCAACGGTTGATCATAAAGTTGTCATGTTACAGAAGACGACGGAGTAGACTCTTTAGAATGCGACGTTGATATGCAGTACCGTTATGCAAGATGATCCCTTGGCTGCTGCGTTGTCCTCTGTCCGTTTGACACGCGGCGAGATGAGACTTAGCTACAATAGACAGGTACTACGCAGCCTCTCTTGATGGGCAGTTGGTTCTGTAACCACCTCACCTGGTTTCGGTTTCTTGGTGATACCCTTGACCGTCACCGGAAGAATAACCAACAACCAACGACCAACTGATTGACCAAGTTTATCATTATTTAACAATCATTATTTAAGAACTTCATAACAAGTCGGATATCGTAAGTAATGACCCCGACGGACTTATAGTGGAGGTTGATCAAGGATTGTTGATCAATACAACCCGATGCATATGTATGCTGCATTGTCTATCCGTGTCGACGATCATCTACAGTGTTACTACGAACGGAGCGACGGAACAACTCTGACAATTCTCAAGAGACGAGATGCCAGAATAGGCACAAGATGCGGGTTTTCTGAATACTACTCTGACTTGTCCATCTTTGCCTTGCCTTCCATAATGTAACTTGGATAGGACTGGACTCAAAAGAACAAGGCTGATGGTTCCTTTCTTCCCGATACGTTGTGTAATTACCTAATGTAGGAATTGCAGCGAACCGGTAATAGCCATGCGATTTTTCAATTTATGCTCCCCGTCGTACAAAACAACGGGTAACTCTGCGGTGCGACAAAACCTCTACTCTGTAAGTATCTACCTTCCTACCTAGGTAGGTCGTTTCAACGCCCGAAGATCTGACAAGGGTAGTTTGTTCTGATCAAGACCTTTTCCCCGTGATTAATAAAATGGGCATAGAGTCTAGCCCTTGTTTATAGTGTGATATACTTGAAACTTGCGGGGACGGACCGGTGATGGGGAGTTTTTGCTTCTTGGTGTTTTCTAGAGCAATGGAAGATTTCGAGACCCTGTCATTTAGATAGAGCCTCAAAAGTACACAGAATTGAGGCGATACAAGGCACAGACTCTCATGTCCATCATCAGCATCTGTCATGACATCTATCCGTACCTGATACACCCTCTCTCAAAGTCAGGTGCCAACTGTTTTGTACAACATCAACCGGAGGGTTCTCTACAGAAAAGCTACCGATCAATCAATTACCTATCCATCAAAACAAATAAAGAAGATGGAGGGTAGGCAAGGATTCAAGTTCGTCAAGGGTTCAAGGGCCGAGAGTTGGTTGTACGGAAAAAGCAAAATACATACCTACCTACACTCAACTTGACATGAGCGCCCAGAAATGCCACAGATAATTTACATTCTCTTAGAGGTCATAGAGCCAAAACTCATTTTACGCTCGGACGTAGGAGGTTATCTCTGGCATGCAAATAAGCACGGCACTTAGCATAAATTCTACTCCGTTTCCTGACCAAAGCCATGCCGATCAAAAAGCCTCTCCCTTCCGTTGACGTTGACGTTGATGTCCTACAAGCGCAAGAATCTCCCGATTCAGACTTGTAGGGCGAAGAGAGAGAATGTTTACGAAAAACCCGGCGATTTGGCACGAGGGAATGTCTTGCGGATTATGTATGTATCGTGAGAGGAGAGGCACGGATAGTTTAGTACTGTAATGTTGACGGGCCGAAGTTGGACAACGATCGACGGATGAGCTTTGTGTTGTGTTGTGTTGCTGTTTTGTAAAGAATGTTTGTTCTACTTTGAGGCAAGTCATATCATGGATATACCTAGACACCAAATGTTACGTCGACGGACTGGATTGTTGTTGGTTTGGTCTTTACAGCATAGCATAGCATGTGAGAGAACATCGGCCGTGGGTTCAGTTGAGAATGGACTCTCTTCCGTTGAGACTCCACCGAATGATCCCCGCTGAAGACATTCCCTGTTTACGAGTACGGCTTGACTGGCACTCATGATAGCGAAGAGAAGAGAGGATGTACTCTCGGAACAGGTCTGATATGATTGGGTTATGGGTATGGCTGACTGATGCTTAGATTGGTTAATACACACACATACAGTAGGTAGTCAAGCCGTTTTGTGTCATTGGAGATAGAGACAGTCATCACATTTCTCCCTTCTGACTCTCATCAAACGCCGTCCCGCACATCCCACATTCTTGATTATCGTCTCTCACACCCACTTGTTGGCTGATGACCCCAGTGGCGTATATCGCATCCGTCGTAGTGCTAGTGCATCCGATAACATCGACAGAGTCCATGTATCCTGATGTGATGTTTTGTCTTAGGTTTTTGGTGATGGCCTCTTTTTAGAGTTTGAAAGAAAAAAGGTCAAAGCCCATCTTGATCATCAGTGAGGATGTTTTGACGTCTACTGTAGTATGTAGTATAGTCCGTATAGTAGAGTAGTAGCGTGCATTGCATTCGACAATGATACCTTGGTATTACTTGCATCTTGTTCCTTCATCAGCCAAGGCACTGTAAAGAATTACCTTGCTTGTGCTGTACTGTGCCGCCGCGGGTGTCCTTCCTACCGCCCTGCCGCCATCTGGCCATGCTCTCATGACTTGAGATGCATGGATGTTTCCAATTGCCATCTTTTGAGAGTTGCCTGATTCACTCATTCTTTAATTGATTTAATCTAAAGCATTTATTCACTGTAGAATCTCTACTGATTCAATGTCACTGGAAGGGAAGAAATGTAGTACCTACAATACATGGAGTTGTATGCAATATGCAGTGTGCCGACCAGTTCCTTCGATGTGCGACTGTACTCACTGTAACTACACGCCTGCAGTAGGTATGATTTCAGTTGACACCCCCCTATGGGTAGTCTACTGTACACCCTGGGTTAGGTTCTCTCTTCTCCTCTCGTCTCTATGAGACGGCCATGACCTTGAAGCATCCATGTCATGTACATACATGCCATGTAATGTAAGGTAATGTATGGATGGCTATGCATTACATTGCATTCGTCTACTGCAATAAAATCTCTCGCCATCCCCATCCCGCCTTTTCGCTCGCATGGCAATGGATCCATGCTGATCAAGACTGAACAAGAAGAACTGACTGTTTCTTTTTTCGTTTATTGGGGTTACAGTTAACTACAGACAGGGCTTAGGTCAACTTTATCTGTCTCTGATCCGATCTTCCTCCTGTTCTTTCTTTCTTCTCTCTTTCCCATTCTCTGCTCTAATTTACCTCTTTACTCTTTTATCCCATCCCGCTTCTCCGCAATTCCCTCCTCCTGTCTTCCACTCATAACCGGTCTCTTAATTGATATCCGGCGCCTCTACAACATACTCCTTGCCGCTTCGGGGAACTAGTCTTTCCAACTCCCGCGCCCTAAGAGCCCTAGGGGAATCAGAAAACTCCCGTCTCTCTGCCCTCTGAGCCAAGCTCCAACCTGTCGAGGTCCACCCCGTCGTTAGCGGACTGTGGCTTGCTTCTCCCGATCACAGAGCAGCCCAGCTCAGCCAATCCCTGCCTTCGGAGAGCAGCTTAGAAAATCGCCGGAGGGATTGATTCACTAGAGGAGAGAGAGATCGAACAAGACAAGACCCTAGACACAAACCTAAGCAAAAGCAAGACAGGGCTTTCGGACCGGACTAGGGAAGAAGAGAAAGACGATTTCTTGCAACGCTTCAATTCCGTCTTCCGCGCTCCCTCTCTAGCCTCTTGCTTACCTAGCTTCCTTTCCTCCCCGCCGCACTACCCGGTGCATTATTCCCAGGAGGGCCAGAGTCTCCGCTCGACCTCGTTGAGATCCCCTGTCCTTGTCGTTGTTCTCCGCTGTCGACAGCTCCAGTGCATCTGCAACTGCAACTTTTTTTTTGTTGGTTTGGAGTGGACTTGACTTTGACTTATCAGAGCCCGAGTGAGAGCCCTTGTTCATTCATTCCCTTCAACTTAACTCGACTCGACTTGTCCTCTTCATCATCACCATTTACTTATTATCACTGTTGGTTCTGTTCACAACCAACATCAATCCAATTCATCACGCCAGGTGCCATTCTTAGTGGACCCATCTAACCCGTCGAGAACGAGACCAACTCGAATCATCCACCAATTCGTCTGAACCAACCAGTCTTGGCTTCTAATCTTAAGCATCCATCCTCCTCCTCCAACTTTCGGCATTTGCCTTCAAGCTCTCCAAACTTTGTCTCTTGCCCGATCCAAGTTGCCCGCCTTCATATATCACTTGTGCGAAGGGAGTTTTATACTATAACGACGCTTACGACGATTACGACCATCACGACAATAAAATAGACTGTTGCGGGTCTCGGCCACCAAACTTCAGTGTTTGTTGAAAGCTTATGGTGCTTAATTGACCATTTACATCTCATCTCTTCGATAATATTGATACGAATTGGGTCTCGACCCAGCCCAGAACACGAACTACGCCGATCATTCTGCGATCATTTGCCACAGTACCCCGACACATTCTCACTCCCCCAACTGACCCCATCCTTCGTCATACCTCTCTGCAAAAGACGTAGCTTTTCAGCTCCAGCTCAATCCATCACCGAATTTCAATCCGACATTTGGGGAGTCGGGTGAAAACCACCTGGCCCCTTACAAAACAGCCAACACGGCTCCACCGCGAGAAGCAGATTTCCGCGACATGGCTATGGACGCTCTCAAAAACCTTGCGAACAACGTTCCAGACTGGCTGCAGCGCCTCGACGACCTCAGCGGCCAGATCGACCGACGCCAGGCCGAGCTGGCCGCTGTCGCTGCAGCAGAAGGACGGAATCCAGAGACAAAGTCCCTTCGCAATAAGGGCTCGACTGAGTCGCTAAAGCCTAAAGATGACCCTCCGGTAGTCCACGCTGAGGCTCCCAACGACGAAGACATTCTCGAAGATGCTACTGCCGAGAACGGAGCGCAAACACCAGTTAAAACCAATACGCCCAAGGTGCATACACCGAGTCCCGGTTCCATTCGTCAACAACAAGAGATTATCAAGACAGCGCAAGCTAGAGCACGAGCTGTAGTAAAGAAAAAGCCCAAGTCACCATCTATGATGTCCAACGACGACGCTCCCGCCGCCTACCGAACAAGAACCATGATTATTGTTTACTACGACAGCTATGTTCAGGGCTTCTTTGACGAACTTGTGCGATTCGTCTCATCGAGTCGAAACTTGATGCGCAAGGCCAAGATGGCCGCAAGAGTCGCCCAGATCAAGAAATTGGCCGAGCAAGACGTGTCAGAGGATGGCAACAATGACGACGCACTCCCTTCGCTACGATATATGAGCAGCAGGCGATTCGGCCCCATGTCAATAGCACGGCCCGGCGCTGGTGATCAGCCCCCCGATGTATACGATAATCTCGATAAGGGTCTTGAATTTGTGCAGAGCATGTGCGAGCACGGTGCCCACCAGTTCCTGCGCGACGGAGACTGCAATGATGAAATCAGCAAGGTGCAGAAGCGACTTACCGAGGTCCTCGAGATGGCCAAGACAGAAATGGAGCGCGTCCAGCGCGAAGAACCTGAACTGGCCAAGGAAACAGGCGAGATGGGCAAGGTCCGCACACGGCGACCCATCAGCATGCGTCGCGAGATGTCGGCCGGCCTCAAGGAAGGCAGCCCAACTCCCACACCCACAAAGGAGGAGAACAACAAACTGGAGCCCGCAAAGCTAGAAGCTGCCGAACCCACTCCAGCACCGGATCCCATGGCGCCCATGGCGGTGGATCCAAACATCATGGAAGCCGACGAGGGCATTGATGTCGAGATGGAGATGCCCAAACTACAATATCGATCAACCCGGGCGATGCGCAGCCGCGGTCCATAGAGTGGACGCGAGCCTTGCGCCTGGGCTATTATTCATTAAAGCGCCATGACTCTCCATTGCTTTTCAGCCCGCTATTCATATCGTGTTTCAAAACAGCAATTGTCACTCATCCATATCATTACTGGCGTATCGGGACTTGGGAAAGAAAGAAGAAAGCGTCGGGAGAGAAGAAGAAAATTCTACCTGGGATTTGTTATGTTCAAAAATGTTTTGAAAACAAGCCTCACATCTTTCGTTTACATATCATGAAGCATGAGGCATGGCAAGAATGAGCTTTGTCTTTTTTCTCATTTAGTTTGTCTGTCTTTGCTCATTTCTTTTCACTAAAAAAGAAAGACCATTCATAGCGTCGGGGTTGATTATTGCATCCAATGTCGAAAGGGAATATTGTTGATTTTTATCTCTCTTCTTGTTTTTATATAGCCCTTCTTCTCTATACTATATCTTAGGTTCACGGTTACGAACAATGGGAATACTTGAAAAGAGATCGCATGAGTTGTGATCTGGTACAATTTTATTAATATCTTTTCTTATGACTTATTGAACTGTGTTATCGAGTGACTTGGTGAGATTGACTGCTTATCTTTGAGTGGTTTTCAAACCGCAGAGAAACAGATCCTTAATGATATTAGCTACCTACGTATAACTCGCCGTTATTAAGATGTGCTTGTGGCAGAGTGAATACTTTAACGTAGTAGGCTGCTATATGATCTGTTGTGTTGGGCTGTCAAGGTGGCGCCACTGGGTGAATTTCCAGCCTGTTCAGTAACTTTATATCTTTAGAAAGTCTGTTACTGTTTGACTGCCCTAACTGTTCAGTGAACTCATGCCTGAAGGCTCCTGTGTCTTTGCCTTGAGCCTCATGGTGAGGCTCTTAGATGCGGTTGGTCTTACCTCAATGGTGTGGGCCAACTGACCGCGTGCTCAGGTACCACCTGCGCCCGTATGACGTCCCCTGTGGCTCCTGCTTCACTTGCACTTTCACATCAACAACTACGACTCCGACTGTAGCTTGCTTCTCCATACTTGCAACGATAAAGTTTAATCGCCGAAAGTCTCGATAGGCCATACCCAACCGCTTCCTTTCGCAATCCAACCTACCCAAAATGACGACGGCTTCATGCACGGCCAACCGATAGCTTCTACCATTTCGTTAGGCCCCCCGCCAAACCATGGGTCAAGGGTTCTCCCTCGCGACGCCGTCTGTCGGCAACGCGGGCATCGATATCTCGGAACTGAGTGATGTGCAGTATGAGAAGAGTATTGGGAATGCGAGGTTTATGAAGACTATTCGTGGTCGCCACGAGAATGGTCTAGTCCTTGTCAAAGTCCTTGTCAAGCCATATACGGAGGTCAAGCTAGAGAAGTACAAGAAGCAGATCATCGGTGAGCTTCATGCATGCTTCATCCTGTAAGGGAATTACTGACCATGTTCAGAGCAGCATAGAGCGATATCAGACGTCCCTAACGCCCTCGGATTCCAGCGCATTATCGAGACTGAATCAAACGGTTACCTTGTCCGCCAGTTCCTTTACAGCTCGCTTTACGATCGACTCAGCACTCGGCCGTTCTTGGAAGATATAGAAAAGAAATGGTTGGCCTTTCAGCTTCTTTGCGCTCTGCGCGATTGCCATGCGCGAGATGTCTACCACGGCGATATTAAGGCGCAGAATGTCCTCGTGACCTCCTGGAACTGGCTCTATCTATCGGATTTCTCGTCCGCGTATAAGCCTGTTATGCTGCCCGACGACAACCCGGCTGATTTCTCGTACTTCTTCGATACGTCAGGCCGCCGCACATGTTATATTGCTCCCGAACGTTTCTTTGCTTCTGGAGAGGCACCGCCGCAGAAGGCAAAGATGACATGGGCAATGGACATCTTCAGTGCTGGTTGTGTAATTGCGCAAATGTTCTTGGAATCGGAAATCTTTAGTCTCGCTCAGTTGTATAAGTATCGTCGGGGCGAGTACGATCCTGTTATTACACATTTGAGTGTCATCGCAGATAAAGATATCGCCGACATGATAGCACACATGATTCAGCTCGATCCGGAGAAGCGATACTCAGCGGAACAATACCTGGATTTTTGGAAGGGCAAAGTGTTTCCGCATTACTTCTACAATTTTCTGCATCAGTATATGGGACTCATAACCGATCCCTCGTCGGGAAACAACCCTATGTCAGGTGCTTCAAAGAACCTTGGAGAAGCCGATGATCGAATCGACCGCGTGTTCTACGACTTTGATAAGATTTCATACTTCCTCGGATATCAGCTCGAGAAGCGAACCTCTGAGGAACTAGTACCATCTTCAAGGCTGAGCCTTTCACATTTCCCTGTACGGCTGAATATTCCCAACCACAGTCATACAGTGTCATCTGCTCTAGAACCGCCTGAAGACGACGGAACATTGATATTCTTGACACTGATTGTGTCTCAACTCAGAAATACTGCTCGTGCATCTTCCCGGATTCGAGCATGCGATGTACTCCTTGCCTTCTCCGAAAGGTTGACTGATGAGGCCAAGTTAGACAGGGTGCTTCCGTATCTAATGACTCTTCTTGTCCCGGACGAGACGGATTTGGTATTGATTGCTGCTATTCGAACCATCACGCAGCTCCTGGAGCTTGTGAAGATGGTGACACCCATCAATTCTCACGTTCTGGTAGAATACGTGTTGCCTCGCATGGAGATAGCATTAGGCTCACGATCCAGAGTGGCTAGCCCACTGGTGAGAGCAGCATATGCTTCTTGCTTAGGAAGTCTTGCGACGACTGCGCAAAGATTTCTTGATATGGCGTCGAGTCTTCGTGCTGATGGCTCAGTCCCGATCGCAGATCCAGAGATCGAACCAGGCGCGGATGCTAAGGCCAACTTCGAGAGTGTTTTCGATAATGCTGGACGACAACTCTTTGAGGTTCTTGAAAGTCATACCAAGCAGTTGGTGGAAGATTCGGACAATTCGGTTCGAAGAGCGTTTTTGGCCTCGGTACCTGACTTGTGCTACTTCTTTGATGATCATTCGAATGATGTTCTCCTTACCCACCTTAATACTTATCTCAATGATCGCGATTGGACACTCAAATGTGCATTCTTCGATACGATTGTTGGCATCGCAACCTTTGTTGGAAGCACGAGCTTGGAGGAGTTTATGCTACCTCTCATGATTCAAGCCTTAACTGACACAGAGGAAAACGTAGTGCAAGCGGCACTTCATTCTCTTGCTCAGCTGGCTAGGCTGGGCTTACTATCAAAACCCAAGATTTGGGAATTGGTTGACCTCATCAGCCGATTTACCATGCACCCGAATATTTGGATACGGGAGTCGGCGGCAGAGTTCTTGTCCGAGTCAGCGCGCTTCTTGGAACCTGCTGATGTGAGGTGTACCTTGATGCCTCTTGTAACGCCGTTCTTGAAAGTGGAGGTCCTGTCTGACTTCCAGTTGCTCAATATCCTCGATGCTCTCAAGAGACCACTAACGCGAAACGTCTTCGATCAGGCCATTAATTGGGCTTTGAAAACTGAGCGTGGCAACTACTGGAAGCCACTGCAGCAGCTGAAGCCCTTGTTGTTTGGCTCTAAGTCAAGCCGATCTTCTCAGGATTTGATTCAAAGCTCCATGGGACGGGTAGCTCGCAATGAAGAAGATGAGCAGTGGTTGGCAAAGCTCAGAAACCTTGGACTGAAACACGAGGACGAGTTAAAGCTCGACGCTATGAGAGAATTCATCTGGCGCCTTAGCAAGATGAAGGCACGGGATGCCTCAACTGCAGATGGCAGCACGTCTAATGGAGTGATTTCTCTTAAGAGCTTAGGAGTCACTCCTCAAACTGTGTTCTTTGACGAGACACCCCTTCGCGACCCCAGAGTAGTTGCCAACCTCGAGCGACCAGAAGAACCTTATACCATTGCAGACGCCCTTTTGGACGCTTCAATGACCATTGATGACTCGACTGGCGGAAAGAAGAAGGCCAGTAATAACCGCCGAGTACAAAGTGTTGGACCGCGCCCATCAGGTCGTCTCCTGTCACCAGCTGCTGTTGGCCGAACACATGCCAGGACACCATCAGCGTCACAAGCAGGCCAGACAGATGACAGACACACTCAAGGAGAGTCATCATCTAGAAATGCCATCCGCCACCAGGCAAGTGCACTGAGCTTGCTCGACCGCAAAGACAGAAACAAATCAATTGCACAGACTGGTACTACCGACACTAATGCATTTGGCCAAGTTGAAGGACCCTTTGCTCAAGCCTCAGCAGAACAACTGCCAACTTCCAACGGTAAGGACGGGGACACTGCACGCCGTCAAGTGGCGAAGCATAGTTACGATGGGAACGACCCAAGTATCCAGAGAATGCTGGACAACATGTATGTTGATAACTTCCCCCGTGATGTTATCGAGTTTGGACCTATTGTCACGCCCATTAAGAGAAGCAAAGCGAGCCGCGTTAGCGTTCAGCCTGGGGAAGAGCCCTGGAAGCCTGAGGGTCAGCTTGTCGCAACATTTGCCGAACATAAGGGTCCCGTCAACAGGGTGCTGCCATCTCCTGATCATGTCTTCTTCATAACTGGCGGCGATGACGGCACCGTGAGAGTCTGGGATACAGCACGACTCGAGCGTAATATCACACATCGTTCCCGCCAGGTCCATAAACATGGTGACAACACACGGGTTGTTGCCCTCTGTTTTGTTGAAAACTCACATTGCTTCGTGAGTTGCGCGTCAGATGGCAGCGTGCACGTTGTCAAGGTCGACACAGTTTCGAATAGTGGTGTGATCAGGTACGGCAAGTTACGTGTTCTACGCGAACATCAGCTTCCAGAAGGCGAGTTTGCGGTATGGTGCGAACATTTCAGGCAAGAATCAAACTCGGTCCTCATCATCGCCACGAATCGTTCGAGGATTATAGGCATTGACTTGAGAACCATGGATCTCCTTTACACACTAGAGAATCCAGTGCACCATGGAACACCTACTTGTTTCTGTGTGGATAGGAAGCGTAACTGGCTTTGTGTGGGCACTTCTCACGGAGTAGTTGACCTTTGGGACTTGCGTTTCAAGATGCGACTTAAGGGTTGGGGTCTGCCAGGTAAAGGATCAATCTACAGAATTTGCATACACCCCACCAAGGGCCGTGGTAAATGGGTATGCATCTCGGGAGGAACAGGCCAAGGAGAAGTCACAGTCTGGGATCTCGAGAAAACGGTCTGCCGAGAAATCTATCGGGTTGGAAGCGGCAAAGACGGGCTTAAGGGGTACGAAGCATGGGACGTGGATGAAGACAAACGGGAGGGGATGCTTGGACGATACGCTACCGATATCGAGCCAAGCGAAACAGCAAACGCCGATCGAGGTGTTCGCGCTATGGTTGTTGGCACTGCAACTGTGGACGATTCTAGAGACGTTAGACACGCGTTCATTGTCACGGGTGGTTCAGACAAACGACTGCGGTTCTGGGACCTCTCACGAATGGAGAGCTCCTTCATCTACAGCGGACTCACACCAGAACAAGCCAAGCCAACTTATACAACATCACACCCCTCGACGGCGCTGACACTAAATATGGAGCGATTTCCTAGACAAGCACCGACAGCTCCTAATGCGGGCTCTGGATCTAAAGCGAAATCCTCCAGTGCGCGACCGCCGAGATCGACAGTTATTTCCCTTCAACAGCAACAGTTGCTGCAGTCACATATGGATGCTATCTTAGACGTGGCGTTGCTGGAGTCTCCCTACACCATGAGCGTTTCGGTGGATCGAATGGGAGTTGTGTTTGTGTTTCAGTAGAATCGGGATGCAATTAGAAACATTCCCCTGGAGTTGATTGAGAAACAAAGAGCAAGAGCAAGTACTTTTTAGTTGGCTGGTATACCATACACTGGAACTCTGGATAGAGTAATGAATTAAGACTTGGTCCTGTCTAGACTTATAAGAATGCCTTGATTGATGAAGCTCTGCAGAATAACAATTGCAACTGTATGCTATATATGGAAGTGTAGCTGTATCTTATACTCTGGCCTCCAGCTCCCATGGCGAGAGCGAGTTTGTTCATGGATTATTTCCATATCCAGATATACACTTACAATTAGAAAACAACTAGGTATATGATATTCCTTGCCATCTGAATTTTATTCATTTTGGACTATTCATGTTGTCCTACGTGTAAGTTGTTGATGCTGTAGTGTGGCTGAACTCCGGATGCCACACTTAAGCTTCCGCCACACGCGACACCAAAATTTCCCCATCCGCCTTGTCGAGATCATCAGCCTTGCCATATATCAACACCACCAACATTCGTACACATTAGCCTCACCGACCTTACGATATCGACTCGATAAAGAAACGACTATAGTAAAATACCATATTTGAACCCGAGGTAACAGCCCTAGATCCAAGATGCGGCTCACCGCCGACCTCATCCGGGATTCCCTATCCTACCTCAATCCTCTGAAGGAGCGAGAGCTTGATCTCCGAGGTGCGTTTGAAAAGAGCAGATGCTACACTTTTTGATCTTTAGAGAGCGCAGAGTTGATACAATCGTCTTTGCGGCGTGAACAGGACACCGAATTCCAGCCATTGAGAACTTGGGTGTTGCTGGCGTAAGTTTAAGCTCCCAATCCTCTGCTGTTTGTACAATTGCTAATAGATTGACCGCATAGCCTCACGATGCCATCGACTTCACCGATAATGACATTCAAGTACTGGGCAACTTCCCCCTATCGCCTCGCATAACGACCCTTCTCCTCGCACGAAACCGCGTCTCGAACATTCAGCCCTCTCTGGCCAAGGCCATCCCGAACCTTTCTAACCTGGTGCTCTCGTCAAACAACGTCGCAGAGCTCGCCGACCTGGACGCGCTAGCGCTGTTCCCCCGATTGACGCACTTGGTGCTATCTGATAACCCTGTATCCAAGAAGGAGGTGAGTTGGGAATGCGACAATGGCGGTGACTCGTACTGATGCGCGGTGTAGAACTACCGATACTGGGTGCTCTGGAAATGCCCTTCCGTGCGATTCCTCGACTTCGTCAAGGTGAAGGAGTCTGAGAGGGAGCATGCTCGCGAATTATTCGGAACTGAGGAAGAGCCTACTGCCCTGGCTGCCAAGGTTCGTACTACTTCTTTCGACAGCAAGCTGGTCACGCCGAAACTAACAACATACGCAGATCCAAGGTATCAAGACCACCAACTTCAGCGCCTCCGCCGACGGCTCGGAAGCGCCCTCCAAGCTCTCACGAATAAAGCTTACAGATGCCGAGAAGAAGCGATTGCAGGAGCGTATCAAGAAGGCTACCAGCCTGCAGGAGATTATTGCGTTGGAGAAGGAGCTCAACGAGGGACGTCTGCCTTCTGGTATTCACGGAGACGCTATGGAGGAATAATACTTCGCATGTATGAAGCAAGACAGCCGTGCAAAGGATTTGGATGGGGTTTACAGAAAATATCATGATTATTCGTATTTTGGGAAAATATCCCCTTGCAATGACTACTCCTAGTTGATGTCCTATTCTTCTTGCCTGCTTTCTTCTGCACTGGTGACTAAATCGGTATAGCCTTCCGATCGCCGTCTCAGCTCTGCTTCGACCCGATCCTCATCGTCGAGTACAGTTGGTAACTAGCCTGTCATGGCCACGTCTCCGTCCCTGTTCTGTCTCGACTCCATCTCCAGCTGTGAGTTGGGATCATCTTCTGGGTCATTGAGATGCGCAGAGGCGCCCATGGAATTGCCGTTCACATGAGGCTTCTTAGCGCCGTTTGCCATTGGGAAATTAATAGTCTGGTTGTTGTTGTTGTCACCTTGGAGACGTGCCCGTGTCGCTGCGGCAGAAGCCTTGATGTTCTTGTAAGGCACCGTCTTTGGTACAGTGTCCTCGAGAAATTCAAGGTTGTCATGATGAGCGACGGCAGATGCTGACAAAGTTAATGAGTGCTACGATGAAAAGCAGAGTATTAGACTTACCGACGTCCTTGTACTGGATGTTTCGACGGGGCTTGCGGTCTAGCTTGGCTTGGGTATGTGATTCCTCTGCCAGATGCTGGACAAACATCTCCTATGTAGTGTGAGTACAGAGCTGAGAGGCAAGGGTGGGAAGCCTACAGCAGCGAGGGTTATCACGAAGGCTGCATTGTTAGAGCAGAGACCGATCTCGGGGTCTTGTGCGATGATCTTCTTGACTCTTGAGACTGGATTGATGTTAGGAAATGACTGTTTGAGTTGGGTGATTGAACTTACGAGGAAGTTGGTTTTGTCCTGTAGGCTCCTTACGAGGAGGGATTGCTGTAGTGTTGTAAGGCATGGTGGATGGTAGAGATGGAATTATTTGTGTGTATAAAGTATGAGTCTGCAAAGGTTAGAATGCGTTGAGATTGATGACTTTGATACTGGTCTGTAGTGGATGCTAGAATTGGAGGTCACAGGGGAAACCGAGGTGCAGGCCGGTAGAGGAAACATCCATGAGGGAAAGGATGGGGACAAAGTTCAAGCAGCAAAGCACAAATGATTTGACATCAGGCATTCAGCGAGATTCATATCGATATGGCATCGAACAATAAGAGAACATGCATGTACTTTAGCTTACATTGTAAACTTACCTTGATTGAGTTATGCAGTTCAACGATTAGAGTTGCTATCAGGGGCTAAGCTGCGCTGGAGGCCCAAGAGGTTTGGTAATGGCAAGAGGTATAAAAGCAATGGGAAATAGTAGCAAGAAGCCGACTTTGTTAAGTTTAAGGCTTTTCGAGAATCGAACTTGGTATAAATGGAATCGTCGTTCGAATAAAGTCAAGACATACGCGAAGAAAGTCGGTTGAGACGCGATGCTGCAACCACTAAACGCGGTTTTTGTGGCTAGAGCTTAAGCCACATATTGGTGTCAGCCTCCCTGCTGGTCATTACGACACTTTAGCATAGAACAACCTTTGCGAAAAGAGATTCTTTGGAACAGAAATAACGCCTAGAATCCAGTTAACTGCATTGTCAACTCCTTGATCTCTTTGGTTTCAACTTGCGCGACCCCAGAACCGCTGACCGATCGACAATGGTCGCCTTGTCCGAGCCATGAACGTGCGACAATCATCTTTCAGCTTGGCCCCTCCGGGACCTGAAAGGCGTCCCTCAGTAGTATCGCGTCTATCATCCGTCTTCTCCAATGCGGATCAGGAAGCGGGGACCGCTACATCTACTACAGGGGCGGGCCTCATAGAGGAGGAGATTGCCGAGATTAAGAGATATGAAGTAAGTTCGGATGCGCCAGACGTGCTATCTTGACGCTAACCAAGGGTCTAGGACTTTACAACAATAGGTATGCGCCTCGACCGATCACGAATGACAACTCTCGATACTGATATCTGTGGTAGATTGGGTTCAAGATGCCGCGCGCGAGCAAGCGAAGCGTAAGGTGCGGAGGAAGCAAGCGGCCGGCCGATATGATATGGGACAACCTAAATGGCGATATCAGCTATGGAAGAGTTATGATGCGGCGCAAGCCTGGATCGTGGTGACCATCATTGGTGTTGCGATTGGGTTGAACGCTGCGCTTTTGAACATTATTACAGAATGGCTATCCGATGTCAAGATGGGCTACTGCGAGACAGGGTTCTATCTGAACGAGAACTTTTGCTGTTGGGGAGAAGAGAATGGTATGCCGGTTTCCTTGGTGTGGTCTTGGCCGAGTTATACTGACAGGAGACAGGCTGCGATCAATGGCACAGATGGACCGGATTTGAGCCTTTCAATTATTTCGTATACCTTGTCTTTGCGGTAAGTCAACTTGCAACCTAAAATGCGCCAATTATTAACTGACTGGATAGACTCTGTTTGCTTGTGTCGCTGGCACCTTGGTCAAGTCATTCGCACCATATGCCGCAGGTTCAGGTATTTCCGAGATCAAGTGCATTATTGCCGGATTCGTTATGAAAGGTTTCCTTGGCTGGTGGACTCTGATCATCAAATCTATATGCCTACCCCTGGCCATCGCATCTGGCCTATCGGTTGGTAAAGAAGGTCCCAGTGTACACTACGCCGTGTGCACTGGAAATGTCATCTCTCGACTCTTCGACAAGTATAAGCGCAATGCTTCCAAGACGAGAGAGTTTCTGAGTGCTTCGGCCGCTGCTGGTGTTGCCGTCGCTTTCGGTAGTCCTATCGGTGGCGTACTCTTCTCTCTTGAGGAGATGTCCAACCAGTTTCCCCTGAAGACTCTATGGCGCAGTTACTTCTGTGCTTTGGTCGCGACAGCAGTTCTTGCTGCTATGAATCCCTTCCGAACTGGCCAACTGGTCATGTTCCAGGTGGAGTATAAGAACGACTGGCACTTCTTTGAGTTACTATTTTATGTCCTGCTTGGTATTTTCGGAGGACTTTATGGTGCCTTTGTGATCAAGTGGAATTTGAGGGTTCAGTCCTTCCGAAAGAAGTACTTGAAGGATTATGCTGTCCTCGAAGCGACCTTGTTGGCAGCTGGTACTGCCATTATTGCTTACCCCAACGCTTTCTTGAGAATCGACATGACAGAGAGTATGGAGATTCTCTTCTCGGAGTGTAGCACTGGGGACCATTACCATGGCCTTTGCGAACCAAACAAGCGGTGGTGGAACATCATATCACTGTTCATTGCTACTTTCCTGCGACTATTCCTCGTCATTCTATCTTATGGATGCAAGGTCCCTGCTGGTATCTTCGTCCCTTCTATGGCCATCGGAGCGTCATTCGGAAGGATGGTTGGGATTATCGTCCAGGCTATCCACGAAGCCAACCCTACTAGCGTCTTCTTCTCTGCGTGCAAGCCAGACGAGCCCTGCATTACACCCGGCACGTATGCTCTGCTCGGAGCTGCCGCTGCGCTGAGTGGTATCATGCACATCACTATTTCCGTGGTGGTCATCATGTTTGAACTTACCGGTGCTCTCAACTACATCCTTCCCACCATGATCGTTGTTGGAGTTACTAAGGCTATCAGCGAGCTATTCGGTAGAGGAGGTATTGCTGATAGGATGATCTGGTTTAGCGGGATGCCGTTCCTTGACAGTAAAGAGGAACATAACTTTGGCGTACCTGTTTCGGCAGTCATGAGGACCTCAGTTGTGTCAATGCCTGTTCATGGACTCACTCTGGGTGAAGTCCAGCAGCTTCTTGCTGACGACCGGTACCAAGGCTTCCCCGTTGTGGAAGACAAGCATACCAAGGTCCTTATCGGCTATATCGGCAGCACTGAGTTGCGATATGCTATTGACAAGATGAGTCGAACTACGCCCTTGTCTGAGACATTGAAGTGCACCTTTGCACCGTCATCGTCAAATCTGTCAACCACATCCCTCCATGGCGACTCATCGCATTCCCAGACTCTCGACTTCAGTCGATATGTTGATGCAACACCAGTCACAGCTCACCCAAGACTACCTCTCGAGACTGTCATGGAGTTGTTCCAAAAGATCGGCCCTCGTGTTATCCTTATCGAGTACCATGGCAAGCTTACTGGCCTTGTCACTGTCAAAGATTGTCTGAGATACCAATTCAAGGTCGAAGCAGCCGAGAACCCCAAGGACAACCATCGTATCGAAGAGGGGCAGGAACAAGTATGGAACCTACTCCTTAGAGCCGGCAATTGGTTCTCTTGCAGGGTTTCAAGGTACTCTGGAGGTCGCATACGTTTGAGTAGCAACTCTGGTGATGAGCAACCACTGGGTAGAGGGCAGATCCTTGACGGCGATGAAGACGTGCTTGATGAGGGTGTAGAGCTGGAGAGCCGGCGGTGATTGTACGAGTATGCTTGTCAGAGCTGTGATGTTTAAACTATAGAGATCCACATGGTACGCAGGCGTTTTGGAATCAAATCTATTTCTTTTATATAGCCAAACATTTCAACTACATTCAATAGGCTATCTATTCTGATATATGCCCTGTCTATTTATACCTGGCGTGCCACCTAAACGGACCTATCGTGACCTCTCATCTGATACTCTTCCCAAATCAATGATATCCTCATCCTCATCCCTTCTCAGCTCCTCTTCGTCTTCAGTTGGTACGGGCACATAGCTTGGCCCCTCAGCCGCTGCAGCAGCACCAGCATCCTTACTCTCATCCTTTCGGCCCACGATGACATTGCCTGCAACAAGAAGCGCAGCACCAGCCCACCACAGCGGCGGTAGAACCTCTGAGAAGATCAAAGCACCCAGTACAGCGGTAACCATGAAGTTGGTTGAAGTGTTTATAATGGACACTTGCGTCGTGGAAGTTCCACGTGCCAGAGCCTTGGTGAAAAGTGCCCACATCTAGGCCAGTGTTAGTAGAGTAGCTCTGTGCAGCAAGGGAGTAACTTACCACGCCGTTAAATGTGAGATTAAGGACAAAGAAAAGCTATAGAGATTAGTACGCGTTCACTCAAGAGTGGAAGAACAACTTACACCTCGGACGGCATATTCAACAATATGTTCATGAGAGGAGAGGCCGATGAGACTAGCGATGCCATTGGATAGGTTCGTAGTAAGTTGTGTAGTTGTCCTAAGTAACACTCAGCAAGGGTTTCGATTATGAACATGATGCATGATACTAGGCCATGTAGGAGCCTAGAATCAATCTCATTTCGGTGGAACGTAGCACCAATATCAATAATACTCACAATTTAGCAAAGACTCCATTGAAAGCTGCACAAGCACCACTAGCAACCGCAAAGAACATCCATTGCGACCGCATACTCATATTACTAGGCGGCGGCATTGTAGAAGCTGATTCGCTCTTCATAGATGAAGGGGGAGAAGGTTCAGGTTCTGAAGAAGCTGCTGTTTGTCGTTTACGAACCATGGCTGTCGGAGAGTTCGGAAGCTTTAGCTTGTTGATGAGATCGAAATGGCCCCTGATGATGATGATTGATGGACTTGGCAAGCTTGTTAGAGGCTGAGAAGTGGTCTTTTAGTGGGGGACAGGCTAAACAGGCCCCGGTTGAGAGGCGCTTCAAGGAACCAGCCTTATCACTCAAATCTGGGGAAACCAACATAGATGCGCCATGTTACTGCGCTCAATTGCAAAACATATAATTCAAATTCATCATATCATTCTCAATATTTTGATACTCATGCGTCCAATGAGCTCATCCTAGCGTGCGCTGAGCTCAGCGTCTAAAGCCCACCACAACCAATATTCTGTATCTTTAAAGAATAGCAATACCCCAGACGCCACCCAATGCTAATAATTCAATCTTTCGGTAGTTGCCCAATCTATGACCGTTGTGTAACCGCATCGTCGTAGTCGATCTATCTTGTCGATATGCCAATTCCATTATTGTCCCTCGCCTGGCTTCTTGGCATTGCAGCTGACAATCTTGACCTTGTTCGCCGTGATGGACTGACTTCCACTGTCCATCTTGAATGTCACGTTCTTGATCAAAAAGGTCCAGACTTCGTCACAGAATCTATATGTGTCCAAGCTTCCCTGCGCAGGTAATGTTGTTTAGCATTGTCTTGGACAAAGGCGCCGAGCATCGGAGCTGTCCTCTTACCTTGAATTGGAGACGGGCCTTGACGTTCTTCTGGAGCGCCTCAGTGATAGCTTGGTCGAAGTTACCGAGAATCTTCATGGCAAGTTGGGGGTTGATGCGCTCTTCACTGATGAGATCGTCAAGAGTGTCTGTCAGAGCGAGGCCGATGCTAGATGGACCATGTTAGTTAAGCTGTCGCAAAGCAGCGTATGGCGGATTCGCAGTACCTGCTACGGCGGTAAAGCTCATAGAAAGACTGCGCCCCGGTAGCCATGATTTCGATTCGGTTTTTCGTGCGTGAAAAGAGGTCGGGTTGTTAAATTGTTATTTCGGCTTTGGGTGGTTGATTGTTTGTTAAAGGCAAGGTTCATGAGACTCAGCTGCCTGTAGGAGGAGATACGCTAGAGTACACTGACTAAGCGTCTCACCAGCCACAGTGGCAGCCTCGCATCATGTGACGTCGGTCCCGGTTATTCCAGTTGCCTGCTTGCTCGCTGGACACGCATCGCCTCTAGCTTCAAGGTACTATACCTCTAAACAGGAGCTCCTAGAAAGCTCAGAATAAGCCACTTTCATCCGTCGCCTACCATCGCCAACAATTCAACCCCCCGGACCGTCGATATAACAATACGAACACCGTCGCAATGAGTCTATACTATGGAGTGGGCGGCATTGGGTCGTTCTTGACCATTGTTGGAGCCTGTACGCGATACCCATCCTCGAGAGGCGTTGAATAGTTGGAGACTTGGTGTACTTTTGCTGACCATGACGCCGTCGTGTAGATATGCTCTTCACCGGCAGCGGTGAGTCCTTCGATGTCGGCGCGTTCCTCGAAGCCGTTTCGCCTTATACCTGGGCCTCTATGGGCATTGCGATGTGCATCGGTCTCTCTGTTGTTGGTGCAGCATGGTGCGTATATCCTCATCCATGTCATGCACGGCTCTAACGTCAACGTCCAGGGGCATCTTCATTACCGGCTCGTCGATTCTCGGTGGTGGTGTTAAGGCTCCCCGCATCCGAACCAAGAACCTGATCTCCATTATCTTCTGTGAGGTCGTCGCCATCTACGGCGTCATCATGGCTATCGTCTTCTCCCAAAAGGTCGAAAACGTTGGCGGCGCCGAGCTCTACTCCGCCAGCTCCTACTACACCGGATATGCCCTCTTCTGGTCTGGTATCACCGTCGGCATGTGCAACCTCGTCTGCGGTGTTGCCGTTGGTATCAACGGAAGTGGTGCTGCTCTCGCCGATGCTGCCGATCCTTCTCTGTACGTCATATACTCTTTGTCGCCGCCTATGGTCGTCCTCTCTAACACCTCTTCAGCTTCGTCAAGATCCTGGTCATCGAGATTTTCAGCTCAGTACTTGGCTTGTTCGGTCTTATCATCGGCCTCCTGGTTTCCAGCAAGGCCCCTGCCTTTGGCGAGACGAAATAAACTCACCACCTACTTTAGACTACCATCCATCCATCAAGTCCGGCAGCCTCGCTGTCGGCATCATCAACTTTTGTGTGTTCCAAAAGAGACGGAGCGCGTGCATGCATTGCGCCAATAATACTTGGTCAGGCGTTTGGAAGATTGGCTCGGGAGGACGTGTTTTGGCTGTACCAGTACAAGTACCAGTATCGTTTGAAAGGAGGTGGTGTACATCACGACGCGGGATTTGAATTATATGTTACGCAAGATTAAGAAGTTATCCAGCCCTTGGCATTGTATGTTGATTGATTACAAGTTATCATGACGCTGAATATCCGTTCACGCTATTTCGACATTTGTCGTCTGCCTTTAAGCTGCTTGAACAGCGTTCAACAGTAAGACCTCGACCTTTGAACCTTTGTCCAGCTTACCCTTTCCGCTAGGCAGTATCACCAAGGCGTTGGCGGATCTCATGCTACCGACTTTTGAACTGCGTTGGCCGCCAGTGCTGGTCGCCGAGAGGAGTCCATCTTTGCCAACCGTGACCACAGCACGATGATACTCGGGACGAGGATCCAGAGGGAATTCGTGCGAGATGACTGCTGGAACTCTTGGCAGACCTACAGTAGAGGCACCAGACAGCTTGTGTAGTGATGGAAGCACAAACAGATGGAAGGTGACCAGAGCAGATGCTGGGTTGCCAGGCAATGAGAAGATGGCTTTCGTAACCCGCTGTCCAGAGTTATCTTTGACCGGGACCGTAGCAAAGGTAGTTGGTTTTCCGGGCTTCATAGCAACTCGACCAAAGTGAATCGTGCCACCCAAAGAGCGTTCGATCGTTGGCTTGAGCAGATCCAACTCGCCCATAGAAACACCACCAGTAGTAATGAGCAAGTCTGCGCGACGAAGTCCATCACGAAGGGTCTCCTCCAACGCACCAGGCTTGTCGCTAGCAATACCGAGATCTACAACCTCATAACCCCATTCCCTAGCAGCGGACATTAAAGTGATTCGGTTTGTGTCGCGGACCTCGCCCAGCTTCAAATCTCCTGGGCGGTTATACTCAACAATCTCGTCACCAGTCGAAAGGACGGCCACCACCGGACGGCGGTAGATTTTGGCCTCTGAAACTCCTACAGAGGCGAGCAGACCGATCTCACCACCAACACCACTGATCGTCTCGCCCTTGTTGAGAATCACGGTGCCTTCCTTGACATCGCTACCGACTTCGCGGATGTTTTCACCCTCCTTAACACCCTCAATTTGGATTTCCACTTCCTTTTCCTCCTTTCCGTCATCAGACATAGTCTTAAGGACGGTATCCTCTACCATGACAACAGTAGTAGCACCAGGAGGCAAGGGAGCGCCAGTAGTAATTCTAGCCAGTTCTCCTTCCTTCAAAGCACCAATTTCTCCAGGCGCTGCGTGAGAGATAGCTGTAACAGGGAAGACTCCCTTTAGGTTGCCGTCTTTCGGGGCTACGACAGCGTAGCCATCGACGATACTGGCGCGAAAAGCGGGCACATTCTCTCTGGCCTTCACGTCCTCGGCCAGAACTGAGTTCACAATCGTCTGATCAACTGGTACAGTGACGATTTCTGGCCCAGGGGTATGCTGTTCGATCAGTGCCAGTGCTTCGTCAACTGGAAGCATTGGGTATGGTGACTCTCTGTATCGACGAGATGGTCCCAGTGCAGGGTCGTTCGACAAAGTAGTGCCAGGTTTTGTATGTCTAACAAGGTTCCCATGATTATGGCCGTGACCGTGCCCATGGCTATGTCCGTGATGGTGGCCACATCCATGACCAGAAGCTGAAGGCTGTTTGTTCTCACTTGAGATACCAGCTTCGGCCTCCAGCTTCTTGACTCCTCCAGAATGAAGGGCTCTCGAGTTACCACCTGCCGCTTGGATGCAGGCATGAGGTAGGGTTTTTATGATTGCCTGGAGGTTTTCCTTGGCACCCTTGGGTGAGCCAGGCAGGGTAACGATGATGGTCGAGTTTCGGACTCCAGCTGCTGGACGTGACATCATTGCAACTGTTTATTCTGTTAGTCCTACTTGAAATAGTAACATAACGTTATCACTTACAAGGTGTGACAGTGAGAGAAGCAGCCAACATGCCATGTACGAGACCTGGAGCTTGCTTATGCAATAAAGGAGTTACAGCCTGGGCCAATTTTAACATCACTGACTTCGATACGCTTCATTGATAACTCACCTCAGGAGTAGAATCGCCTGTCGCAAAGCCAGTTCCGCCAGTTGTAACAACGAGGTTGACACTATCTGGCCCATCAGTCCAGGCGCTTATCTGGCGTTGGATAGCGAGGACATCGTCCGAGACGATCTTTGTATCATGGACTTCCCATTTTCCTTCTCCTTCGTCCTTGAGCACTTGTGTAAGTATGGGGCCTGAAGCATCAGCAGATGCATCTTTGGCTGCTGTCGTTGAGACAATAAGAAGAGCTGCCTTTAGAGGACCGGAAGCCATGGCCGAAACAGGGATTGAATAACAATTATTACAAGCGGCTATGATTTCCAAACCGAATTGAAGGTATATGTGAGTTTAAAGAGAAGGCATGAGTTGATTTGGTGAGCATATAAGTGAGTTCATGGACTGATAGCGGCGGGGAACTGAGCTCAGTTGTCGCGGCCCCACCAACCCGGTCATGGTGGAACTCAGTCACCCCCGAAGTCGTCAACTTTACGGAGATGCAACCCAAATTCTTCATCCAGTCACAAGCTCTTATTTACTTTACTTCACATCTTCAACCATTTCCAGAAACACCACGTACTTTCCTCTACAAGTCATTCACAATGGTGCGCATAAAAGAGAGATATCTTCTCGTCAACATTGTTTATCCAGCCGACCCTGCAAAGGCTGCAAATTCAAATTTGCCAGACTCGGTCCTTCATCACCAACCTACAGTCGAAAAGCTGTCTGCCGGCATTCTTATTAAAGCAATAAAAGCGGAAGTCGCGTCACTTTATGGTGACTATGGGGCTGGAGCATTACAGTCCTGTTCTGGTGAGTGATACCCAGTAAATCTCTACCGCGTCGCATTACTGACATGGCTGTAGTGAAATACCTATCGTTGGCAACCTCAACTTTCATTCTCAGATGTTCGAGAGCTCACTATCAGATGCTCTGGTCTACATTAACTTTCATGGACCACGTTCCTGTGAACAACGGCAGACCGTGCATCTTCCGTGTCGTGCGCGTCAGTGGAACGATGCGCAAGACTGAAGAGGAGGCTATTCGCCAGGCCAAGAGACTCATCCTCGCTGCTAAAGAAGAGACTGAACCCACACCTGCTTTCAGTTCCTTGCGCAACCAGGAAGAAATGTTTCTCGACGTCAATGACGCGTCAAGCGATGAGGAGATGGACGATGCAGATGGCTGAACGGGTATCATTATTTTCTAACTACCTTGATCCCACTATCTTTGGGTACCGACATGTCGCCAAAATCAGGATCCATGCCACCTGTTGGAGCAGATGGCTGTGATTGCTCCATCTCCATGGCTTGTTCTTCCTGGATGCGAGCCTGCTCTTCTTCGGCCTCGCGCTCCATCTTATCATATTCCACCTTTTGGTCGATCCAGCGCTCTTGGATATCCTGCACCTCCAGCATGGACGACTCATTCCTCATAGCAACTGCCCAGACGGTATCATTGGCTCCTTCAGCACCGCCAAAGATGTATCCACCAGCACGGTCGATGACACGGAGGATGTGCATCATGCTCTTCTTGTTTTCGACAGCCAGAACCTCATAGCGCACCAAACCATAGCTCTCGATCAGGTTCGCGATCGCCTCGTTGAGCTTGCCGAACTTCTCACTTCTTAGAGCGGGTGATTCGGTCTCGAGATGGGGCGTCAGATATGTAAGGTCGTCCACGTCTGTGTAGTAATCGAGGTTGAAAGGGAGTTCGTCATAATCGGCGACCTTATCGATCTTGGAGAGAATGTTTATGTGTGGCATATCCATCTGAATCATGGCACGGAGGGAAAGGAGGACGTTCGATACGTATAGTGACGGTTGTGTGAGGCAGAAGGAGTCGGAGAGGTGGACGCAGACGAACTGTACACTGTCAATTGTTGCCTTCTCAAACAGCAAAGATCACCAACCCTGAATCCAATCTTCTGGAGCTTATAGAATATGTTTCGCAAGGAGTTGTGGTGTGTATATAGTTCGACTTGGCCTGGACAATCGAAAAGAATGTAGTCTTCGCTGAACTCTTTCAGTCCTTCCTCCAACCACTCGAAATTGTGCTCCAGCTCTTCAAGGGCATACAAGATGCCACCATTAGGTCCTAATTTATCATCTTTCATAATCTCCTCGAGCTTGACCAGGTTGCGAATGTCAAGTGCTGCAGGGTAGTTTGTATGGTCGTTGGCAGGATCGAGGTTAACGACTGAACAGGCTCGCCCAATAGCGCCCAGGAACTGGTGCACTAGTCGGTCAGTTGAAATATCATCAAGGGTAACTTGACAACTTACTGCCATCGCAGTAGGTACTCTTTCCGCAGCCTGGGCTGCCGAGGACTAGTTGCGCAAAAGGCATCTTGAAAGTTGTCGCGGAACGTCAAGCTCAAAAGCGCATGATCAAGCGGTCAACAAAGCCGTGAATAGCTGCAGCTTGGCCTGAGAAAAACAAACTTTTACCGTCTGTTATCTTCAGCCAGAATCGCAACAGGTCGTATGTACTGGGACAAAGAGAACGTAAAACAGATGTTATATGATTACCAAAGCCCGACTCGAGAACAATGAAAAGTGACGGCACCAACGCATGCCCCTCCACTACCCACCTGGGTTCCTGCCCGCCCGGAACAAATTCAGCGCCTCAGTCACTGAACCTCAGTGGAGTGGGGTCTTGGTCGGCCAATCCTCGGCTTCCAAGCTCCCCTGTAGCTCCGCACTCGATCACAAGCTAAAAGCTTTCGCGTGCAGGAAATGCAGTCACGCTTTCTTTTTTTCTTAAAACCTCGTCACCTCCAATTTTCTCCCTTCCTCCAAACTCCCTCCGCTTCCACGCGGTTCTTTTATTACAGGATGCTACGTTATGATGCGCAGCATTCTCATCATCAGCCATGGCATCTGATCCGTCAAGTGCCACTCAAATGGCGGGCGACGTCGCTGAGACTGTCGCCCACGCCCTCAGCTTCAGCAGCTCTCCTCCCTCAGCGATGAGCACTATGCCCTCTATCACTGCCCATGAGCCCAACACCTGGTTCGGCCTCTTCGGGTGGTTGATCTTATCTCTTTTCCACGTCACCTCGACCATCCTTTATTGGGTGATTCGGATTGCGACTATCAATGTCCCTTCCTTTCTGTTCCACTTGTTTTCGACAAGCTGGACCGTCACCATGAATGCTACCACACTGTATGTCAACCGATATACTCTGATGGCTTTCACTTCTAACAGTCGTGTAGCATGTTTATCATGGCAGCTGTCGTGTCAGCTGTCAGCTGGGTCGTGAGATATCGCATCCTCAACATGTACTCTCGTCTGCCGCCGGAGCCTCAGCGCAAAGAGCCGGAGATCGACCTCTTTCCAGATACTCATGAGGGTGATACCAAGTCTGGCTTGGCAAACTACTTGGACGAGTTCTTGAGTGCTATCAAGATCTTTGGTTACCTTGAGCGACCCGTCTTTCACGAGCTGACCAGGAGCATGCAAACGCGAAAGCTCATTGCTGGAGAGACCATCAACCTCGAAGAAGAGAAGGGTTTCTGTATCGTTGTTGATGGGTTGGTTGAGATTTTTGTCAAGTCAAACCGAGGTCCACGCGCCGCTGCTGCATCTCGAGGACGCCTTGACCTGGACTCATCCGACGAGGACGATGTCGCACCTGGTCAACAGACCTATCAACTTTTGACAGAAGTTCGCAATGGAGCACCCATGTCGTCGCTCTTCTCCATCATGTCTCTGTTCACAGAAGATGTCAGGTTGCGGGCGAACGAGGATGATGACGACGAGCCTCTGCATCCTACCAAGAGCAGTGGCCTTCGCCATCCGACATTTGAGAAGCCGAATCTCTCGCGTGTCCCTTCGGATGTCAACATTTCTATGCCTGGCACTCCCCATGCTCAGGAAGACTCTGACGCAGATGAGAAGAAGCCAGAAGGCCTTGGCGTTTCTGGTCTTGACACTGATCAGGCTGGCATTCCACCTATCTCACTGGATGGCTCCACTCCTCCTCCTCCTCCTCGTCCCACGCGGCCACCTATGCCAAGCAGGGCGACATCTGGTTCGGCTCACCCAGATATTATTGCTCGCGCCACAGTTGACACCACGATTGCGATCATTCCCGCAAGTGCGTTCAGAAGGCTTATCAAGATTTACCCCAAGGCTACTGCGCATATTGTGCATGTCATCCTCTCCAGATTCCAGCGAGTCACTCTTGCCCAGGCTTTTAACTACCTTGGCTTGACCAGCGAGGTACTGCAAACTGAGAAGAGCATGATCAAGTATACCGTGTGTCAGCTACCCAACATCTTGCGAGGCGATGCTCTGGAACGCCTCAAGGAGAAGTTCAAGCGGGAACGTGAGCGTACCGAAGAGGAAGATGACACCAAGGGTATTGCTTTGCACAACTCGGCATCTGCCAACCGACGAAGGTCTAGCACTGGGCTACGGAAGGAGGCTATGCTGCAGTCGATGACAAAGCTTAGAGGGACTTCAGTCGTCACTGGTACCATCGCACCACCTCGCGAGCGAGCTTCGCCTCATACGCCCAGTCCTGGAGACTTGCTGTCTAATACCCAGTTGGGTGGTCGTGGGTCTTCGCGCATATCCCCATCCGATCAACGAGCTGTTTCAGGCGCATCGATGAGACGTCAAGGCGCCAACCCTAAGGATGATCGGTTCTTCAATGATCCGTTTGACTCGAGGAGGCTAGGCCGCATGACAATGGACCCCCGGGAAACTGTCGATGAAGATAACCTCTTCCGTGCCTCGATTCTGGAATGCATGTTCAAGTCACTTGGTCTGGACACCAATGGAAGCGTGTCTCGCGAGCCAGAGTCTATGGAAGGTTCTCCTAGACTGGTATCAATCGACCATCGTCGGTCAAGACTTTACAACCAAAACAATGCCTTCGGGTTCATGGCTCCCTTGGATGGTTCGGTTGATGGCGAGACGGAATCGGTGACATCCAACGGGACTGCCTTGCATACTCCTGTTAGTGCACAGGCCCTTGCCAGCGACATGAAGGACGAGGTTGAAATCGTCTTCTTCCCCAAGGGCTCGGTTCTAGTAGAACAGGGAGAGCGAAACCCCGGTCTGTACTATGTCGTTGATGGATTCTTGGATATTGGTACGAGCAGTGAGGGCGACGCTCACAACATTCTGAAATCCAACGGATTTGGTACATCTCAACCAGATCCAGCATCTCCCAACCCGTCTGACATGGGATCGTTCCCGAACTTGGCAAGGACCGAAGCTGCACGAGACCAGGCTGAGACCGAGACTCAACAGTCAACGTCAAAGAAGCCTCGTCGTAGCATCGCTTTGGTCAAGCCTGGTGGACTCGCTGGTTACATTGGAAGCGTCTCTTCGTACAGGTCTTTCATTGATGTTGTGGCGAAGACGGATGTTTACGTGGGCTTCTTACCTCGAGTGTCACTTGAGCGCATTGTTGATCGTTACCCCATTGTTCTCCTTACTATGGCCAAACGATTGACAAACATTCTACCTCGTCTGATTCTGCACATCGACTTTGCCCTGGAATGGGTTCAAGTCAATGCTGGTCAGGTTCTCTTCCATGAAGCTGATGAGAGCGAGGCAATCTATATCGTCCTCAATGGACGCTTGCGTCTGGTTCAAGAACGTAAGGGCGGCAGTGGTGGCGTTACCGCCCTGGCTGAGTTTGGCCAAGGCGACAGTGTCGGCGAACTCGAGGTGCTTACGGAGACCGTTCGTCCCGGCACTCTTCACGCTATTCGAGATACTGAGTTGGTAAAATTCCCTCGAACGCTGTTCAACAGCTTAGCTCAGGAGCACCCAAACATCACAATCAAGATCTCGAAGATCATTGCATCACGAATGAGGGCCATTGTTGATGAGACGTCCAAGTTCTCGTACAAGGATGCCAGCACCAACCCGAAGACATTGATGCGAAAGTCAAACATGAATCTTCGCACAGTAGCTATTCTTCCTGTTACTGCGGGTGTCCCCGTTGTCGAGTTTGGAAACCATCTCATGAACGCCCTCGCGCAAGTTGGCCCAGCCAACGGTGCCACTTCTCTCAACCAGGCCGCTATTCTCAACCATCTTGGCAAACATGCCTTCAACAAGATGGGAAAGCTTAGACTTTCTCAATATCTTGCTGATTTGGAAGAGAAATACGGCTTGGTTGTTTATGTTGCAGGTAAGCAATAATTACTTTTTTTTCTTCTTCAGCAACTCCTTGTATGATGATAAAATCACACATAGACTCCAGAGGCAAAGCCGATGTTGGTTCTATAACTCTAATTTTTTCCTGACTTTACCACATTACAACTTATTCTTGAACTCTTATTTGAGGGCTGCAAGCTAACATGTTGTCAAATAGATACCAACGTCAACTCCCCATGGACGCAGACTTGTATCACGCAAGCAGACAGTATTCTCTTGGTGGGTCTTGCTGAAGGGTCACCAGCCATTGGTGAGTATGAGCGTTTCATGCTCGGCATGAAGTCGACAGCTAGAAAGGTGCTTGTTCTGTTGCATACTGAACGTTACTCGCGACCTGGACTTACCCGTGCTTGGCTCCAAAATCGTATGTGGATCAACGGTGGTCATTGCCATATCCAAATGGCTTTCAGGACCAACGAGATGCCAGTGCATGCTCCGAAGAAACTTGGTCAAGCTCTCAAAGAGCGTGTGCAGGTGTTGCAGGCCGAGATCCAGAAATACACCTCTCGCAAGGTGCATCATACTCCGTACTATTCGCCCGACTCGCCTTACAAGGGTGATTTCCATCGCCTTGCACGACGACTCTGCGGTAAATCGATTGGACTTGTACTTGGCGGAGGTGGCGCACGAGGTATCACTCAAATTGGTATCATTCGGGCCATGGAAGAAGCCGGTATTCCTATTGATCTCGTTGGAGGAACTTCAATCGGTGCTTTTGTTGGAGCCCTTTACGCTCGCCATGCAGATGTTGTGCCCATGTTCGGATTCGCCAAAAAGTTTGCTGGTCGCATGGCCAGTCTTTGGCGCTTTGCTCTCGATTTGACGTATCCTTCCGCCTCGTACACTACAGGACACGAGTTCAATCGTGGTATTTTCAAAGCATTGGGTGACACGCAAATGGAAGACTTCTGGCTTGAGTATTACTGCAACACAACTAACATCAGTAAGAGTCGGGCGGAGTTTCATACCAGTGGTTATGCCTGGAGGTACATCCGAGCCTCCATGTCCCTTGCCGGATTGCTTCCACCTCTGTGCGACGAAGGCAGTATGCTGCTTGATGGTGGCTACATTGACAATTTGACTGTGTCGCACATGAAGGGTCTCGGAGTTGACATAATCTTTGCTATCGACGTAGGTGCTTTGGACGATGATACGCCACAAACGTACGGTGACTCGCTATCTGGAGCATGGGCTTTTGTCAACCGATGGAATCCATTCTCGTCTCACCCAAACCCTCCTACGCTTGCGGAGATCCAGGGACGACTAGCCTATGTGTCGAGTGTTGATGCTCTTGAGCGTGCCAAGACGATGGCAGGATGCATTTACATGCGACCGCCGATTGACGATTATGGAACTCTCGACTTCCACAAGTTTGATGAACTGTACCAGCTGGGATACAAGTATGGACAAGAGTTTTTCAACAAGATGAAAGAGCAAGGAGTCTTGCCTTTGGTAGAAGAGACGGAGGCCAAGAAGGCGTTGAGACGCACAATGGCACCGCGACGAGCGAGTATCTGATTTTTTTGCTATATATTTTATATAAACTTGACGCAGCGTTCAGCTTCAGTAGCTGTCTCTGCACTCTCGAATACAATGTCGATTTACACAATGATCAATGCTCACCGTTTGAGTCAAGTGACCTGATAAGTCTTGGTGCTGCAGCATTACGTGAAGGCGCATTGGAATGGTATATTGCTTTGTAGGAGAGGAGATATGACGATATAAGTGACATCATCCGGGCCTGGTCCTTCAATTGGACCCTGGCACGTAACGACGCCAACCCCAAGGGGACGTCACCCCCAAGTTGGAATCCCTGCCGATGTCAAGCTTTGAGATGAGGATCGATCAATGACATTCAATGCTTGACTGCCCAAGTCCAAGTGGCGCCGGGAATGCAATCCGGCAGCGGCAGCGGGGACAGAGTTCAACGGTTTTGATTCCAGGGCTTTACCTTATTTTTTGGGTTCTTCTGTCAGTCTGTCACTGTAAAGTTTGTTCTTTTTCTGTTATTCCCTAAGCTGAGCGAAGGCAGTACGAATATTCAAGCAGTACGAAGCACTGTGTCACAATACAACATATATCTATGACCCGTCATCAATAACACTATACTATCTACCGCAAATTATTTTTGAGTCTCTATTAAACCCATATCAACTCCTCTACACAACCCAAATCTACACTGCACAACTACCGTCACAATGGGACGAAGAGATACCTACTCTGAACCCCCTCGAAGCCACCGACGATCCCGTCAAGAACGAGTCGAAGCTCGTAAAGAACACAAACAATTCCAGAGCCAGAGTGGCTTCGACTGGACACCAGGCATTGTCCTCGGCCTTTTGGGAGCTTTCGCTTTCCTCAACCACGACTTCGATAAGTACAAGAAGAAGCATGAGTGGCTAGACGGCGACTCCAATGATAGCAAGAGCAGGGATGGCAGGGACAGCAAGGACAGTAGGGAAAGTAGGGATAGTGGAAGAGGACGCAGTCGTTATCGATCAAGCAGTCGGTATCCGGATTATTATGACGATGATGAGTACTATCGACGGGATAGAGGGTACAGTCGATGAAGGTTGATATCAACGAACGGGTCAGGGGATGAAGAGTACGAGGAAACATGATGATAATGAAATACATGAATTTGGTAAACGGGGGAATATTATGAAAATGGATAAAGGAAGCATATGGATGGTTGCATTTTAGGTTCACAATACAGCGTCAGCAATAAAGGCACACATAATTCTTGACATATTGCTTGTTCTTGGATATCTAAGTCGTCTTACTACCAATCTATCTCCATCACCTCTATGCCTTCTTAGCAATCTCAGCCTCCGCAGTCTCAACCAAAATGTCAAACATGCGCTGCACATGTTCTTCCTCCACCTTGGTCACACCCGTACACACACGGATAGCAAACTTGTCATTCACAACAGTAGCAGTAAGATAGTACTCTCCCGCTGCATTGATAGTTTCATACACCGCCTCAGTACGATCGTTGATCTCCTTTTCATCCGCACCATTGACTCGCAAAGTAATGAGGCCGAATCGCGCGGGCGTGAAGATGGTGAAGATGTCATCGCGAGAGGCAAGTTTGGTCTGAAGACTTTCACCAAGCTCGACGCCGGAGCGGATATGCTTCTGAAGACCGCTGATACCGAAGCTGCGCATGACAAACCAGAGCTTCAAAGAGCGGAATCGTCGACCGAGAGGGATTTGCCAGTCACGGTAGTCGGTTACCAGCTCGTCGTCGCTGAATTGGTTGCGGAGGTAAGGGGGCTTGATGCTGAGAGCTTGGATGAGCCAGGCTCGCTTACGGACCCAGACGGCAGAGCAGTCGAAGGTGGTGAGAAGCCACTTATGAGGGTTGAAGCTGAAAGAGTGGAAAGACGAAAAGGCCTTGGGTAGATGGTGGTTCTCGTCGAGGACGAGAGCTGAGCCTGCGTAGGCGGCATCGACGTGAACCCAGATATCCTGTGGTGTATCGAAGGTTGGCTTAAGAGCCTGGACAATACCCTCGAAGTCATCGACAGCGCAGACATCAGTAGTTCCGAGTGTGGCAGTCAGGAAGAAGGGCTCGAGGCCACGTTCTCGGAGGTTCGCGATCGTAAGAGCCAGAGTCTTACCCTTGAGTGCAAAGCCATCGGCCTCAAAGACAGGAACAGTAGCGAATCGAATACCAAGAACTTGAGCGGCCTTCTTGGTACTCGAGTGAGTGCCCGAACTTCCCAGAGCAACAAGCTTGCTGCGATGGTTCCAAAGAGCATCCTCCTTCTCCTCACTATCGTCAGGAAGATGAGCCGTCACAGCAGCAAGATACTTCTCCCTGGCAGCACACATGTTGGTAAGAATAGCTTCACTAGCACTTCCGTGAATAACACCACCACCATGCGTCGATCCGCCACTGAGATAACACTCAGGCAGTCCCATCGCCTGCGCAAGCCAATCCATGACGATGGTCTCAAGCTCAGTGACTGCAGGACTGCAGATCCAGTTGAAGTGGGCGCCGTTGAAACAGTTGGAGTACATCTCTGCCAGAGCAGCAGGATAGCTGCTGGAGCAGGGAAAGAAGGCCATGAAGCGAGGGCTTGACCAGTGGGTTATACCAGGGAAGATCTTGGACTGGATGTCATCGTGGATGGCGGACCAGGGCTCAGGGTCCATTGGGGGTGCGGAGGGGAGGAGAGGACGGAGATAGCCTGGTTTGACATTTGAGACGACGCGATGGTCTGCGACGTTCTCGGTATAATCGGTTACTATACGACAGTCAGTGAGTGTTGGTGATAGTAGTTTTGGTGGTGATTGAGTGAATGCGGGGGAGGGGTTGAGTTTTCTCAATTGGGAGTTCTTTTCATCATGACTTGAAGAAATCATGATGAGTATGACGATAATCATGACTTACTCTCATCAATAGCAGCCTTGGCAGCCTCGCGGAATTCCTGAGCGTCCATTGCGATATGATATGATGGAGTACGAATGAGTTAAAAGAGGGAGACTGAGACTGGGAGGGATATATATAGGCCTTCACTGAATGAGAGTGATTGAGACTGTGAATCTTGTTTTCCAGAAGCGAATGTCCCTCGTCTTTATATCACACCTCTATAACAGAAAGAAAAAAACAATCAATGAGTTTAAAGTATAGAATGAGAGTCTTGAAATCTGGGGTTTGCCCCCCACTCACTACAACCGAGGAATGTTTTCCCCGTCACATCCCTTCCTCTACTGAGTTTAGTCTCTACTGATCCTACAACTACTTACTATACTGTTCGACCTTATTTCCGATGTTTTCTTGGCCCGTGTTTGATATTGTTCCTATCTAGAGAATTGTTCTTGTTTGCTTAATTACTCCAACGGTTCTTGATCGCTAGGGTTATGGTGGAAGAAGGCTGGTAGATTTTTACTGGGAGGCAAACATGGCTTCGGGGGCTAATCTTGGTATTGTTGCATGCATGAGCGGCTTGGTCAGGATTGGATTTGGATTTTGACGGGTTGGGCTAATGCACGTTGCGACTCCGAATATCGGGGATACGTCCGGATACAAGCACTTACAGAGATGGTCCAAGACGAATTAACCTTTCGACATAGATAATTCTGAAGATTACAAGTTGGGCTGATTGATTGGTTCTATCTTCCCAGTATGCTCATCATGAGTTTTGGTTCAGTTAAACTATTGCTGTTCAATACCGACACGGCGGTATCAAAGCTTCAACGCCACCAAACGAACGAACAATACCAAGCCTATAAGCTGGGGCCAACCTCACGGTGAACATGTCAATCTCTATCCGTCAAGGGTCCTACAACACGGTGTCTCCTTCAACCCACAATGGATACATGCTGTAAATGGCTTATCCAACTAAAGCCAAGTCCCAAGATCCAGGAACCGGGTCCTGACAAACCCGCATAAGTTTCAGATCACGTTTCCTCGTTCTCTTTGTCTGTCAGATATGAAACTATGTCGTGCCCCATTGCCTTGTTGACACCGCTTCTGAGGCTGAGATTACGCCGCTAGGAACAATGGCCTTCGTCTTGATCGCGCTTCAGGGATATAGCGAGGTGTTTGCCCTTTACATCCTTACATCTAAGCTGCTTTTGAATCTCAGTCATCATACGATTCTTGATACCGTACTGGTATGCTGGCAGTCAACATATAGTAGCCATGCGTTTGATGCCTTTGTTCTGGGAATCCTCGTCTCCGTCTTATTGCGGGCGCTGGATGATGATCTCTATTGAAACGGGGATCGTATTGTTTCGTACTGCCTTGAGCGATGCGTCAGCAAAATGAACTAACTGCAGTCGACGATAGCTTCTGTTATGCCGCCACCAGCAGTTGTATTGCGAGTAGACTCTCGTTGCAATGTATGGTTGTGTTCCCATCTGCGGCCTGAATTGGAAGATTTATATACGATTGTTGACCGCGGAAAGGTGCCTTGATTGTTGCTCATAGAATTCAGAGATACTGGCTATCGTGCCAGGTGGGTGTTTGAAGAATTGTCGTCCAAGGCTTGAGTTACCAAAATAAAGTAGCCTAACTGCTAGTCTAAGCTAGCATAATGTGACTACATTATTTCGTCTCTTGTGCCTCTAGGGGCCAATTCTTCTGACACTCTGAGGTGTACCTCTCTCACCAGTCAGTACATTTTACTGTTAATAGAATTATACCTATTAAACATGCAAAGAGCTATGTCTTAATAATATGTCAGCATGGATATGTAGAGTTAAAAAGACTTCAAGTTGGAAGATAAAGTGCTCTCTAGGTAGTTTTAGATATATGACATATAGTGTAACGGTCGAACCTGATCTTCCGTATAAGTTGGCAAGAATGAAAAGGTACGACTAATAGAGATGCAGTGCAGATTTACCAAGGCAAGAGCTCTCATGGGCCCATATGTATATCTGTATTACTGCTGGCAAGCGATTTCAGTCATATCTAGCATCACTGAACTGAAAGTTCTCGTCTGACGACAAGTTAAACTAAACTCATATGTTTATAAATATGCCATACTATCGTGACTTTCGTTAGTCAACTCCACTATCGAGACCCATGGAGCAAAAAGGCAAAGACATACAACAGCGGGGATTCGCTGGTCGTCACCGACCCAACTACTAATCCGCC